TAAATATGCAAATTATAAATAGTTTATTTTCATTTATTTCATTTATTTTTTAAATATTTTATCGTATAAAAAATATATTGTATCGCATTATAATTTATCACATGACTATGATCAGCAAACTCTCTATAACGGCCTTTTTTTGCCAAATCAGGCAGGCCATTATAGAGAGAGTGAACTGTAATTATGTATTTATCCAGTTCAATTTTTCAAGAAAAAATATATAGAAAAAATTGGATATAAAATAACAAAATGTCAACAAATAAAACAATTTAATGATAGTTCATTTATATTAACAACAAATAATGATTTTTTGAAGTGCTATTCTATGAATACTAATAATTTGCAAGGTATTATTTAATTGAAATTATTCATTTATTATAATTTAATTTTTTTTCTCAAAAATTCAAAAAAAATATGTAGAACAAAACAAAGATCTTGAATTGTATTTACGTTTAAGATCAGACATTAAATCTGCTATGAAGAATAAAGATCAATTAAAATTAAATGTTGTCAAGGTAAATGTGAAGTGGAATTAACAATCATTTCCATCTATCCATATTTCATAAATTTCATCATTTTTTTCTGACTCATTTTTCACCTTCCATTCATTTAATAAAGTCAATTCTTTCAGATCTTACATACGTTTCAAAAAAAGTGTCACAACCTTCTTCATTAACAACATCACCACCTACAAATCAACAAATCTATAAGATTATAAACAAATCTGTTAAAACACATAATGAATCTATAGAAAAGTTTTCACAAGCACAAAGACCAGACTTAGTTTGCAAAGAACAAATTGAATTAGAAATTTTAGAATCCTATTTGCCAAAAAAGAAATTATCTGAAGAAGAAATTGAATCAAATATCATCAAATTCATCAAAGACAACAACTTAACAGGTAATTCAACAAATTCAGGCAAAATAATAAAAGAAATCAAATTTGGAGATAGTCATGATGAGATCTTGGTTGATAAAAAAATTGTGTCTACTATTGCTCTAAAAGTTTTAAAAAATATGAATTAAGAAAAAAATAAAAAATTATTGCTTTTAAAAATCATGTGAATTTTATATGATTAGTGCTGTTCCATTCCAAAATAAAAATAAATTAATCATTAATACTTTTTCTTTTGTCAATAGTCTCATGAAATGATCATCAACAAATACTTCATTTGTTAAAGACTGACTAAAGAGTACATTGTGACATTTTAGCTAAGGCTCTGAATGAATTGATCCAATTCGGATTTGGTTCAATTTGATTCATGACTTGATTCAATTCAATTTGAATCAAACTGGATTCCTAAAATTTTTTTTGTAAACATCATATTAAATTTATATTACACAAAAGGTAGTTTTTCCCAATACCATGGTAGCCCAATATTTTTATAATAAATAAGACTTAAAAATGATTTCATCCAATTTGAGCTGTTATTAAATTAGTTTTGTCCAAGTTTAGGCCAATTAATTTTGGCAATTTTGGTCCACTAGTAAGGTAGTTTTGACCACCATCACTATATAATAATGATATTATAAGTAATACAATTTACAGTTGCACGATTCATTGATAAATTCATTAAATCTAAGTAATAAATATAACTAATGTTGTAATGAATGATAATGATTGCTATAGATTCAAATCAGTTTGAACTGATTCAAATCAAAAATTAGGTCAAATTGGTTTGAATTTCATTGATTTGTTCAGAGCTTTATAACTATACATGGGATGGTAATTATTTTGCCAAAAACGTAATACGTAATTACGAAATTAATTACGGGTGACGAATCAATTACGGGTGACGAAATCAATTACGCGTGACGAAATCAATTACGCGTGACGAAATCAATTACGCGTGATGAAATCAATTACGAATGACAAAATTAAATGACACCTATAATTTATCTCGTTATACTAGTATAATGACATAATTTGTCAACTTTTTTAGAATTATAGAATTTATTCTGTTATAACAACATGCCAGTATAATGGGAGAACCAATCAAAATCATTCTCATTTCTGAAAAAACATAAGGAAATAAAACTTACACCAGGATCAAGATCGGAAAATTCTGATAACACTTCTGTATAATGCTAGTCAATTTTGATCCAGCGTAAGTTTTAAATTTCCTAATAAAACATGAATGAAATAAAAATAAAATATATAATAAAAATAAAATTACAAAATCACATGATAATGATTCTCATATGACTTCTATATGAACTCTCGTTATAATGACATTCTCGTCATACTGACATTTTTTGCTTGTACGGAGAGTGTTGTTTTTATAACGGGAGTGACTTGTATTATGATATTTCCAATAATTAATTCGTTGTTATTCGTAATTAGTTTCGTCACCCGTAATAGTAATACGGTAATTAATTTCGTAACTACGTTTTTAAAGAAGAAAATGGTATTAATTACAATAATTACGTATTAAGTACTTACGGTAATTAGGCAATTGCTATCCCATGTATAGTTAAGACATTTTTAACAATTTTTAAATGTATTTTTTTTTGACTATTGGATTATTTTTAACATTTTAATAAGTGGAATTTATATATTTTGAATTGACTTTATTATGAATTTTTGGAAAATGATTTTGTTTTATTGTTTTAAAAATTGATAAATAATTTATCAATTATTTGTTTTATTTTAAAAATTTGTTACTCGCATACATTTGGATAGATAATCTATCAATTGTTTGTTTATTAATTTATTTTAGAAACTTGGAAATGGGTTGTTACTCGCAAACATTTGGACAAATAATCTATTTTGGAAATTTGGAACAGGTTGTTACTCGCAAACATCACCTATCAATTGTTCGTTTATTGATTTATTTTTAGAAACTTGGAAAAAGTTGTTACACTCAAATGTTTATTTGCTTTATTTTAATACTGACCTTTGATTGTTTTATTATTTTATTTTAGAAACTTTGAAATTTTTATTAATCCATGGATTATAATCTATCAATTTTTTTGTGCATTTATTTATCAATCAATTGTAATGTGAATAATTTCATAAATTTATAATCACGTAAATCCGCAGTGATGATAATGAGACTAGAAAGACCCCATAAAAAAATCCGTTAATATTAATAAAAAAATGCAAGATTTAAATTCGTTCTAACAAGAAATCCGTCCGCTATGACAAGGTTTGACTGTATACTTCTATTAAAAAATCAAAAGTGGATGAAAATTATTATTAATGTATATTTTGTCGTATGCAACCAATTTTAGCCTAACAACTATATATGAAAACCTGTATAGCTTTCCATGTAAGCAGTCCTTTTGATTTATAATTCTACTTGTAGAGTATTTTGAATAAAATTTGATATTTTAGGTCCGAAGATATTCCTGTTAACTTTTAAACATTTTTGGACATTTATAAATATGTATACTCCATGGACATCTTTCTAAATTTGATTAAATGCCACATGAAAAACGTAAATTCTTTTTATGCATTTGCGTTTTTGCGTTGCATTTTTCTATATTTATATGCATGAAAATGGGTTTGCGGTTTCTAGAAAGCCTTTACGAGATTGATCCAATTATTATATGCGTGAAAAGGAAACGAATAACATTAGTGCTGATCCATTCATTACATTGTAAACATAATTTTAATAAATTTTTTTGTATACTCTTAACAATGCCTCCATCAGAATTTCTATTCATAATACAAATTCGAATTATTCGTAATGTAACTCAATATTAATATTAATATTAATATTAATTCGAATTATTCGTTTTATTCGAATAAACTTTCAATGTAATTCGAATACTCAAATTCATAACGAATAAAAACGAATAAACCTTATTCGATTAGAAACCTTACCCAATCAAATGTTGATAGGCATTATACAATGCTTGGACAGAAGAATCGGAGACACTAAATATATCAATTACACAAAAATTTACACAAAATTTGTATCAGGTCCCGAAGATTATGTAAATAAAATCTTGTCTTACTAGATTTTCTACAACTTTAGCAATTAAAATAAAAGAAACATGATCATTTTTAGAAAAAAAGTTTGATGACAAAATTTTTTCTAATGACTATACATTTAACAACATCTCTTGAATTTATACATGTGATAATCCAAAATCTTTTGATTGTAAAGAGATTTTTCTTGTTTAAAAAAATTATTTGTCAAATTTGAAAATTTCTTTTCGAATTTCTTGTTTAAGTTCTAGTAAATTTAGAAACATAAGATTTCAAACTTTAAATAAATCCGCATCTACAAAGTAACAATACTAATTTTCGTGCGTATGATACAACATATTATATTATTATAAAATAACCCATTAAATGTCTTATAAAAGTTACTATATACCACTACCGCTATAATCGGTCTTCATCATCATCAGCATTATCATCTTCGTCTACATAAATGCATGTTGACGATGTTGTCGTTGTTGTATCATCATCATCATCATCATCATTATTATTCTTCTTTTCAGAGCCCATAAATAATTCTAAAATATTTGTAGGTATATACCTCCCTACATGCGATTCACACCTTTTAACACCTTCATATAATTCATAATTGTAATCTTTTCTTCATCTTGTACAGTTCCGTTAAAATTCAGTCGCTCTGCCTAACGTCTTGAAATGCAAACCACTGTAATATATAATGGAAAAAAAATTTATAGTATACAGTATGTATTTTTTAATTTCCATGTGAGAATGCGCTATTTCAAAAATTCCACGCGCATGTCATGCACTGGGTAGTAACCATAAGCGAGAAATCAATAAAATCTATCATAATTTCTTCTCCAAACTATTATAAAATGTTATAGAAACCTCGAGTGATAAAAAAAAATTTTTATTAAAAAAAAAGTCTTCCAGAATAGTGTTACACGACAATTAAAATGCCAATTTCGATTAAAACCTTATACAACAATAATAATAATATAAAATTTCGAGATGATGCACAAAAAATATTTTTCCTAAATAAATATAAATAATATTATTTTATAATAATTTTTTATTTATAAAAAGGGGGATGGAAAAGATTTAAATTATCATTTGAATTTTTTGTTATGTTGGAAGTTTCAATTTCAAATGTATGCGTGAAAATTTTATAATATTATTATTGTATGCGTGATAGTTGTGATATATATAACATTATCAACATTATTTTATAGAATAATTATTAATTAAAAAATTTTTAAAAAAATAAAAAAAACTCCCAGCTTAAGATCAAAGTTTTGTTCAATACCCTTCTACAATTTATAGCTATCGGTTAGGTCAGCCAGCAACCAATAAGGCAAGAATGTGCGGTTTCGGTGATAAAGATAGACGTTCTATTGATCTACCAGTAAAATTATTTGTGGCTAATATTGATGGTTGCACCGCTCCTGAGAGGTATTGTCATAATTATAATTATAATTATATTAATATTGATGTTGATAAAAGTAATTGATTAAAATTACACGACTTTGAAAATTTTTAAATTTATATATCTGGTCTCATAGTTATTATTGATGTCACCTTCATCTTCCTCATCATCTTCCTCTCGTCATCTTCTATGAGAGAATTAATACCGTCTTTTCCATTATCAGGATTGATGATGATTGTAGTATTTGTAGTAGCAGCAGATTGGTCAACTAATTTTGGAATAGGTTTCAAAATGGTTTTTGGTGATGATAATGCCGATGAAGACGACGCAACCAACGAAGTTGATTCTTTAACTTTTCCTTGGCATTATTTTCATGTTCAACATTATTGGATTTTCTATAACGAGTTTCTTTACGAATTGAAATTTTTATAAAAGCCTCGGATCATAATAATGTCGATTCTATTTCAATTAAATTATATATATATGGTTAATAAATTTGAATTTCGTTCATAGATACTATTAATAGATTTGAATTAACCCAACAAACAAGTTTCAAACCTGATGGCAAATTGGTTATCGATCATTTTCAATAATAATAATAACAATAATAACGATAATAATAAACAAAATCTATGCTGGGCTGTGGAATGAGGAGGATAGAACAGAAGAACGTCGACTAGTTATCAACCCATCCACAATTCCAGCACAATCATCCAATGGTCCAAGTTTAACAGTTTGATAATTACATGCGCCAGCTCGTACGTGTGACTTGATGTGACATTACACTCCATCTGCATATGTACTTGAATAATTATTTAGGACAGCCGGGTTTTTATTTCTTATTTCAGATATATTGGTACGGACCGAAGGCTGCTTTATTTTCCTTCTACAACTTAAAAGAACTCTTGGTTCGGTGAGTGCCTGTCATCCATTTACACCTGCATTAATTGTTTATTATTTAATTTTTTTAATAATAGTTGTTTTCAATTAACATTTAGATTATATAGAATGTTTATTGTTAGTTTTGACTTACTATCTTAAATTAATATTTATTTATTGAATTAATAAAATAGTTCGTTAAATGGTTATCCAAACAGCCGTGAGTCGGTAGTCGCCGAAGTTTTTAGTGCACCTTTTAAAGTTTATTCTTCTTTCCAGAGATGAGCATGTAAGCGTTGACATACGCAATCCTTGTTGTTTCAAACTATTTTCCATCAGGTTTGAAACTTTTTTGTTGGATTAATTCAATAACACCTAATTAATAGTATCAATTAATATTAACAATATATAATTTAATTGCAATAGAATTGACATTAATAACCCATTGAATTTACGTGTACGAGCTGGCGCATGTAATGATAAAACTGTTAGACTTGGACCACTTGGTGAATGTGTCGGAATTGTGGGTGTGTTGATAACTAGACAATGTTCTTTCGTTCTATTCTCATTCTACAGTACAGCATGGACTACCATCATAGAATGATCTATGGAACCATTAAAGACAACTCTGTTGATAAGACGATGGAATATTACAATAATGAAAAATAACCGAAAAGTTCAATCTAAGAAAAAAACTCATGAATAAATATTCTTTTTAAATACATAATATTTATGTTCATTTATTCATTTTTCGCGTCAAATTAATTAAATTTTTTCGATCAACATAATAGAACTAAATATGGAAATCAATAGCGAATTATTTTCCCACATAATAATAATAATAATATTTAATTTATAATCCATTTTATTTAACATCTTTTTTTTTTTTTTTTAAGATGATAATAAAAATCAATTAAGATTTGCATAATAAATAAAAAACTTTTTTCAAGAACAAATAATAACGGTTTATTATTAAAAGACGTCCTGAAGAAAAATTGTTGCACAGCTGGCTATACGTCATTATTAATTAATGTAATTAATATAAACATACGGAACTTGATTTAAATCCAAGTTATTTTGGAAATAATATGTCATTATGTGTATCATTCAGAAGTCCACTTTCAGCCTAGAAATTTTATTTAATAAATTTGGAATTGTATTTGTTCACTTTTTTTGCGGGTATTTAAAAGCTTTTATTATATATGCAAAATACAAACACACAAAAAAGTAATCAAATATATATACGATGAATTGATTGGATAATTTTTAAAACAAAAAAATTTTTTTTTAACAGAAAGACATCAACCGAGATTTTAAAAAACCCAGATTAGCAATTGGGCTTTAATTAAAAAATTTTTTTTGTTGCCATCTCACTATTTTACATTTAAAAGTCTTTGCCACATCGGATTGTAATTAAATTCGCTCCATAAATTGCGACAGGGGATTATTATTTTAAAAATGTAGATTTAATTTGTTTAAAAATGGCATCAGGAAGCCTTTATCTCCCAAAAGATCAATTATTGTAAATATACTGCCATTTAAAATTTATACTAATGTATCACATGCTATAGAGTAGTTTTGCAAATTATTCTTGAATATCACCGGAGTAACTATCAAAACTTGATCATTTGGTAACAAAAAATCAATTTTTTTTAATTTTCCATGGGAATATGCATGATTTTCAAAATTCCGTACGTGTGTAGTGCATCATTAGTAACAATAAGTGAAGAACCAATAAAATTATTTTTATGTTATTTTAAAAGATCTTTCCAAGATTTTCTGTATCACGAAATTATTTTAATTTTAGGAAATGGCCCGACTTTGAAGCCTTATAACTCATAACTTTTATAATAAAAAGAAAAAAGTAAACCGATGAGGATGAAGTTTAGGTATTTAACTTCAATTCTATCGGTTTAATTTCTTCTTTTTCTTTTTAAATAAGGAATTATAAGCTTTTAAAGTCACGTGATAATCATTGACCGTTATTATTATAAAGCACTATTACTATTCGTTATCTCAATTTCTCTTTCAAATAAATTATTTTATTTTATTTTTTAATTTTCTCTTTCAAAAATAAATTTATTTTATTTGCTTGACAAAAGCAAATATTTTACTAACAATAAATCTCTAAAGATTTGTTTTTTTGAAACTACAATCAAATTAAAGAACTTTATGTGGACAAAATAATGTAATATATGTCAAAAAAAATATGAAAAATATACATTTAAAAGAGGCTCTTAACTAGGAAATCTTATTTCATTACTATTGGTATTATTATTTTATTTCGTAATATTAATCCAAAAAAAAAATATATATATATATATACAATATTTCTTATAATTGTTATTTTACTCTGAACGTTTTAGCATTTAGCAATTACATATAAACAATGCGTAAGAAAATTTCACTTTATCTGTGTTAGACAAACACTAGCGATCAAGAAAAATTCTAACAATGTTCGATTATAAATTATTATCCAAGTTTTTTGCTTTGATGTTTATGAATTCTGCGATATGACGTTTCCTTAGAAAAGAATCAGGTTAACAATATAATAAACTGGAGAAATCTTTCTGTACAACAAAGATAAATTGTTATTTTGCTCTTTTGCTATAAAAATTTTTATAACATTATTTGATGACGATAGAATTGAGTTTTGATTTGGTCAAAAAATTAAATCAGTTAGTTATTTTAGTTATTTTAATAGTGTATAAAATTAAAACTAAAGGTCATTTCAACATGATTTTTCGAAAAAGAATTGTTACAAGTACTATCATCATTAAATTACTCTATGATTTTTCAAGTTTGAATTTTTCATCTTCTATTTTCAAATTTAGATACTATATAACTTTCTAGTCAACCCCAAAAGTGCAACAGATATTTGATTCTTATTTCTTGTTGATAAATAAGGATGACAAAGGAAATCTGGAACTCCTTGACATCCAATATCCGAATCGAGAGCTTGGTAGTAATCTCAGCATTATGAAAATTAAAGAATGGTTGACGAAATACTTTGCAGGGCGGGGAATTCTTTCGTCAAACCGTCGTTCATTTGACGAAATTGATGAAATTAAGATTAATTAACTAAACCGAACAGACTTTTATAACCGATGATCAAAAGTATGGCTAAATACTGACTTTATATATGTCACCAAAAAAATGATTTAGATTCGGAACCCTTCGCTAGTGATGGATTATCGCCATGATAAAAAAGAATTACTATGGTAAACACCCAATGTTACTCTACATATTGAATTGTTATATAAGATCAGTATATAATGATGAAATGCCATATATAACACAAACAGGTAAAAATTATTAAAACCTTGTGTTTTCTAAAGACTCTTATTGCTGCGCTATGTAAAATTTTTTCAAAAAAATAGGACTTCACATGATTTTAGTTTTTAAAAATTATTTTTTACTGGCAAATTTAGTAATGATATCATGACCCAAATTCCTCGCGAACATAGTAAAATACATGTACTAAAGAAAAATAGAACTCTACAACAAATAAATTTTTTAAAAGGTAGGGACAAAAGTGACTTTTATACTTTTAAAATTTATGTAAAATTTAGGTCTTTAGACCAAGCCAATTATATATTGGCTGAAATATTTGCAATATATTAAATACATCAACGTTACTAAAAATTTATCAGATTTGATTGGTTGAATTAATTTTGCCAATTTCATCAGTTTCGCCACTTCGTCAAAAAAATCCTTGGCGATAAATTTCATCATATGTAATTCCGTTAACTGACTAAATCCAGCAATTTTGTCAACCATTTTTAAGTATGGATGCATATTTAATATGACTAACCTTTTTTGTTCCAAGGTAAATATAGCACGGATCTTTTTTTTACTATATTAATATTAATAAATTAAAATATGATTTAATTCGATAAAAATGCATGCTGCGCTGTATTTTCTGTGTTACTAGTCAAAAACTTTCAACAATAATAATATTTTGTGCATTATTTATCGTGTAACCATTTAATAGTGACGATCCAAAAATTCGAAAATTTTGTCTGTCTTCTCTATCACGTATCACGAATTATAAACGTAAAAATCATATTATTTTTGATATCTTCTACAATGATATGTATTCATTTTTTAATTTAACCAATCTTTTACTGAGAATAAAATAGGCATTATTCATTTGAATAATGCGATATTAATCATTTTTGTGCAACTATTTACGGTAACACCTTCATTTACTTGAATTCAATGAAAATCCTACTTTTGGCAGTTAAAAAAATTTTCTTCTTATTTTTCATTACCTTGTGAATTTGGTAAACGAGCAATGAGCTATAATTCTGGTAGGTTTGGTCGGCTTATAGCCTTTTAAAGAAACTTGTAACCGTGATATTTAAACGCTCAAATAGCAAATATCGATTTTCCTTTTATATAGTAGTTCTGGATGAACTATTACAACAAACCGCTTGTTACGGATTACCATATGGAATTTTTGGGATATCCTGTTGGGCCTTTACGATTTTTAGTGTTGCTTTAACATACTTGGATTTTCCTCTGTTTTCACCATGGCGATGGTGTAAGCCTTATAAATCACAAGATCCATTGTTAGCAGTCATAATAAGTGCTATGGTGTTAGGACCAGCCATCTATACGTGTGTTTATTGTCACGGAGAATGGCAAGTAATACTTTTGGCGGTCGGGCAGCTAACTCCATGGAGTTTTAAGATGTTGAATGACGGTGTTAGAGCTCGTAAAGTGATTGCTGGTGACAATAAAGTACAAGACCCCCACAATATAAATGGACGGTACATTATTATTGGTAAAATTTTAACGATTCTACTAGCTGCTGGCGGTTGGGCTGGTATAATTGGATTGAGCATTATGTTGGTAAACACGACAAAAGCTGTTACTGATTGGATATGGATATTATTCGCAGTGGGACTAACAGCATTTGTAACAATGTGTGTAGCAATATGCATCAAAAGAAATGTATTCATCATTATTATGGCGGCGTACATTTCGGCAAATCTCCATATTATAGGTTCGCATATAATTTTGGCCATGGTTTCTGGTAACTGGAGTGGAATTGCTCCTGCAGGAGCTGGGCTAATATCATCAATTATTTTCTTTGCCGGAAAACGCCTGCTATTCTTTGATTTTGAGTGTAATTTCTAGCGATAAAAATGTTAAAAAATTTTGGTAAATTATTTTTATATTGGTTGTTTTCTTTAGATTATTTAAAAATAAAATAAAATAAATAAAAGTAATTCATGGTTATAACTTTTTAAAAACACTTTTTTGATGTAATAAGTATATCATACAGAAAGAAAAACCATCGCTTCATCTCTTATTCGTTTGGGACAAAGTCTTGATCTGATAAATGCTGTGATATCCTGATCCTTTACACCATCTTTCGTTCTATAATTTCTAAAGGACAATTATTATGCTGTTGTGTAATGAAATATGTCACTCTAGAAAATGCAAGGAAGTTTTTTTTGTTAAAATATTAATTTATTAATATGATTATTTTATTTTGAATTTTACAGCTTTTATTATAACGAGCTGAAGGCGATGTGGTTGAAGTTGAAGTGGTAGTTGTAAAACATATAATCAAAAAAAAAAGTATTACTTTATAAAAATTAAAAAATTAAAAATTAAAAATTAAAAAATTACAATTATCAGTTGGTTGTGGCTCAGTTCCAAGTAGATTGAGAATGAGTACTCACAAACTGGTATTGATTACCCTTAAAACAACTGTGTCCGAGTCAATGAGACGACTCTTTAAAAAGACTAGCTCTTAGGCCATGGTTTACAGTTGACTCAACAAAACCAATATCTTTTTATTATTATTATGATTTAAATCATATTCCTTCCTCTTTTACCAGACGACATATAGAAGAAGATGTAATTTCATCTTCGGATTTATTGTCATCCTTTCTTTTAAAAAAAAAATGATGTAGCTTCTTTGATTTCATCTTTTAAAAAAAATCTCCACAGGGAAAGCTCTTAAAATCAGACTTTATTCTAATTCGGAGGAAACAAACCATATTAGTATTGGTCGCTGGACATACACCAATGCTTATCATTGATATTATATTTACGTAAAAATTATATCAATCAATCTGAAAAATTTACATCCATTGATTCTGGTTTCTTGATACCCCTGTTAGCATTAGAGATTGACCTATTAAAAATTATAAATCAAAATATTGCTGCAAAAATTAAATTAAATTTAGAACAACATATTAAGGAAGAACCAGAGGTGTTTAATCATTCCTCAAAGGTATTAAAAGCACCGAATTAAGATATGAATGTAACTTACCATGAGTACTCACAAACTGGTATTGATTACCCTTAAAACAACTGTGTCCGAGTCAATGAGACGACTCTTTAAAAAGACTAGCTCTTAGGCCATGGTTTACAGTTGACTCAACAAAACCAATATCTTTTTATTATTATTATGATTTAAATCATATTCCTTCCTCTTTTACCAGACGACATATAGAAGAAGATGTAATTTCATCTTCGGATTTATTGTCATCCTTTCTTTTAAAAAAAAAATGATGTAGCTTCTTTGATTTCATCTTTTAAAAAAAATCTCCACAGGGAAAGCTCTTAAAATCAGACTTTATTCTAATTCGGAGGAAACAAACCATATTAGTATTGGTCGCTGGACATACACCAATGCTTATCATTGATATTATATTTACGTAAAAATTATATCAATCAATCTGAAAAATTTACATCCATTGATTCTGGTTTCTTGATACCCCTGTTAGCATTAGAGATTGACCTATTAAAAATTATAAATCAAAATATTGCTGCAAAAATTAAATTAAATTTAGAACAACATATTAAGGAAGAACCAGAGGTGTTTAATCATTCCTCAAAGGTATTAAAAGCACCGAATTAAGATATGAATGTAACTTACCATGAATTATATTTGTGAATTCTACTTGTATACCTTTCTCTAAACCACCTGAAATTAAAGCCAAGTTCTAATTTTTTTGGCAATTGAAGAAAATAGGGGTTCTGGCATCATTCCTTTTGAGGACTTTCATGACTAGTTATAACCTAAGCTATGAAGTTATAGAATGATGAGATCAATACGTATCGCTGCGTTTGCATAACGATAGAATCCAATGTGAAAGAGATTATATTCACGATAAAGCAAATGAGTATAAAAGGATATAAGCTCCATAAGAAATTAGTAGTCTTGTAGATGAATGTCATTGAAAATTTGCAAATGGTTATGCGAAAACTACCATGTAATTTTGCTTTCTTATATAGTTTAAAACACAAGACATGGTCAAAAATGATGATGGTTTTGGAAAAATTCAATCTAAATCTGCAATGCAAATGTTGACCTGGCCACATTGACACTTTTGTCAATATTTGTTGCATAAAACTTACAAGTATTTACGTTGAGGAATACACCAGCAAAATATGTGGAAGTTGTGGTCAAAGGCCTTTAGATGTACGTATTGTATTATAATTCCACCATTGATAGAGATGTAAACGAAGCTTGTAATATGTTTTTAAAATGCAACGACAAAAGTCGCTTGCAATGTCGAGACTTATACCTTATTGTACTTGGGTATATATAGGTTCAATATAGTATTTTTTTTTGATAAAAATTTTGATCCAAAATTATTAAAAAATAATACAGAAGAGCAAAAGAGCTGTGTGTAGTTGCCAAAAAATGATGTTTCAAATGAAATTGGAAGAATGTGGTATGGTCAATTATCGGAAAGAGCATATGAAGATAATCCAGAATGTAGTATAACGTCGTCCACAAGATAGAAAACGCCATCTACTACCAGAAACTTATGAAGGGAAAGAAGGAAGCGAAGGATGAACAAGATGTGTTAAAAAAATATCAATAACAACAATCTTATTGATAAAAACATTGATAATAAAAACTATAACAATAATTACCCATTTTGCTTTCAAAATACGTATAAATGATCTTTTGTAGATAGGATGTTATAGAAAAATTATATACATTTTATTAAATTAGAAATCAAAGGTTAGTGACGAAAAAATACTTTTCTAGAAATATTAAACAACATTGTTAATTACGAAACAATAATATCAAACGCTTAAATTTATTTATTATTTGTTAAAAGAAAATGTTAAAAATTTATATGAACATTCTTTAATTTGGAAAACACTGACAACGAAGTAAATGATTGTGTTATAGTGAATTTGGTATTTAACAATAATTGAAATCATGATTTGACATTTCACGTATAGGAATTAATGTTTTGATGAATGGATTCGTGAAATTATGTATGTAATAGCAAAGTGTGATTATATCATTTTTGATATTAATATAAATTTTTGACGTTATCTTGATATAGCAACAATTTTTCAATATTAAAAATAAAATAGTGCTAATATTTATTTATTAAAATTTGATCAATCAATGACATACGCTTTATTTATTATGTACTATTGATAAAAAGTGGGTTTACGTATTTCAGTATATCATAACATTCTCGTAATAAATATTATATAGCTAAGCTTTCTAAAATAATATAACAAAATTTGGATTATGGACTCAAACCACCCGAAACTAGTTTAGGGTAGGGGTTTAGGTTTTAGTGTAGGATCTCGCGTGAAACTGTTTAGGGGTTTAAATACACCTTATATTTGATTGGCTAATTTCAATTTCACGTACAATCATTGAATGATATAAAATTTTTCCGATAAGTATTTTTTTGAAATTTGTTAGCTACCATTTGAGCTATTTGATATTTATCAAAGAAATTAAAATCGTTCGGGTAGGAGTAGATTACTATTTATAAGTCCATAGGAATTACAACAAATATATAATAATATCAATAGTACAAGCATGAGATTTTCTTGCTAGATTATAAATACTAGTTCTGTTCTAATAAAAGCACTTTCTTGTGGTTTTCTTGGATAATTTTTATATGAATGTGCAAATAATGCTTGGGGTAAAATCTCAAAATAAACCGCTATTGCCTCCGAACGTTCATATATTTGGTTCTAAAGAAGGACCCTTGTCAATTGGTTTGGTGTTGATGTTGGATAGTGGATAATAAGAAATACTTATTTAACAATATCGAGACTTTTGATGAACTTTTGATATATAACACATTATATTCTATCCGTATACTTTTGATTTTAGTGTCAAAAATCACTTTTTAATAAAGATTTACTTTTTCATCTAAAAAAATATTGCATATTAGAAATTATAGCCCTTTAATATGATAATTTTTGTTTAAATAGAAATTAAATAAACAGAATACGAAATTAAACAAATTGAGAATATGAACTACTTTAATAAATATTAACAAATAAAGAAACTATGCGTAATATGCTGTTGTAGCATCATTTAACTATTTAACAATTGATTCACGATATGTTGAAGTTGGTTAGCTATAAGAATTAGCTGATCTCTTGTATTATTTGGCGCATTCAATCTATTATTGACTAAATTTTGGTTAAAGAAATTGTTGTAATCAACAAAATTATTATTATTATTATCACCCATATGACTAGCCAAGTTATGGGCGGAGAAATTGTTATTATTGGGAATGATTGAATTGCTTAAATTTTGTTGTGGAATATTCGCGTTATTGATTAAATAATGACCAGTAAAATTGTCATTATTTTCGACAGAATAGTCAACACCCATAAGATTATTTGAGTTCTCATCAAGAGGAATAATGATTGGTTGTATTGGTTGTATATTAGAAGGATAAACACTGTTGTAATTATTATTATTATTATTATTATTATATTGATTATTATTGTAATGGCGACTCATAGTTGATTATTATTTTTATTAACGATTAAATTTTTTATTGTTTCGTTGAATTCTTTTGCGCTGATTCTTTTTATTGTCTATTTATATATAATCCCTTGAGGATATATCGACATAATCAACATATAGGTGTTGGCTTTTTTATTTTGTTTGTTTGTTTATACTCACAAATAAGAAACTATGCGGAGTCAAATATTTATGATTTTAAGATTTGTGTAATAGTAAGGTAAACTATAAATATTTAAAAAAATTCAAGGTAATTTCCAAATACGTACATTTAATTGACGATCCGCGAATAAATGAGAGAATTGTCGTGTAAGGTAAACAATAAATATTTAAAAAAATTCAAAGGTAATTTCCAAAATACGTAGTCCTACGTTTTAATCAAAATTATTTTGTATTGTAAAATGCAAATGTATATGTCGTGTCCAGCAGAAATGTGCATTATTATTCAGGTATATATATAGTTAGTCTATTTATTTATAGATGTTGTTTAAAAATAATTTCCTCCTTTAAGCAAGGCTTAATCAAAATTCTCTTCTTCTTTCTTATATTAAACATGGAATCAGGTTAATCATAACTATATCAAAAATTATATTTATTTATTTATTTAAAATAAAAGGTTTTTTAAAAAAAATTCCAAAAATTTTTTAAAAAGTTAACGAGTTCACTTATGAGAATATCTTCTGGCCTAAAATATCAAATTTTATTCAAAATGCTCTACAAGTCGAGTTACAAATTAAAAGGCCTTTACACACATACTCACATGAAGAGCTATACAGGTTTTCATATATAGTTGTTAGGATAAAAATATATAATACCGTTAATAATATTTCTCAACCTTTTTTGATTTTAATAGAAGTATATATTGGATTTGTTGGCAAGGTTTTCAAAAAAGATTATATAAAGACTTGAAATCAGTAATTGAAGATACATTAGAGTTTTTGAATAATCAGTTAATTGGCTATAAACAATTAGATGATAAATGGTTTCAAAAATTTGCTGAAATATCTATAAATTACGCAAGAGCTGTTGAAATATTAAGTAGCATGTTTAGTTATTTGGTTAGTAAAGAAAAGAAAAATAATAGGTTTTTCTTTCTCTGTTCACATTTTTTTAGACATCTAATTGATCTTCTTTGTGATAATATTAATAATAGAACAAAACCTTTGTACAATCTATACTTCATGAAAATCTGAAAGATATATTAGTAGATAGATTTAAATGTATCATTATACAAAAATCCGAAAGACATATTATTCTAGTGTTTAGTATGATAATCAATGATCCTAAATTATTTGATTTAAATATAGTCAAGGAAGTTTTAAGCACTTTATATAATATGAATCATGGTAATTACTTCACTAATTTAGATATTTAAATAATTATTAATAATATATATTGATTTATATTTATTTTAAGACAACATATACTTAAATCCGACATTATTTCAAAATTTGATTGAACATATGATGATTATAACACCAAATAATTTTGAAGCTATTAATTCTATACACAAAGCTTTAGAAGCAAAATATCAATTTGCAAAATTAAAAGATAATAATGGATTTGAACCGGGATTTTCAAAATTAAAAAGATCATTCTCAGTATTGATGATTGATGAATTGATGATGCAAGAAGAAATTCCTTGTAAACGAAAACAAATACAATAATTATTAATTAATAATAATGATAAATTTAAAATAAAGTTTTTTAATAATAATAAATTTATGAAATTAAATTTAATTATATATTATATTGATATTTGCATATATATAATATATATATAATTACTAAAAGTTGAAAGAAAAGTTTTCTTCCCCTTGTTCACATTAATCTTCATTCTCTGACATCATGTTGTGTACGTCACGTCTATCGTATTCTAAATCACCACCACCTTCAACGCTGCCTAATTCTTCATCCTCGTCTTCTTCATCCTCGTCATCCTCGTCTTCATCTTCATCCTCTTCAGCTCCTAAACCCCTTACCTCGTTTTCGTTTTCATTATAACGCAACACATCTCTTGTAAATCCTCTATTATATGCTATGTCTGCTGCTAATTCATCAAACATTTCTTCGCTAACAGAAGAGTTTGAAGCATCTTCATCATATCCATCCTCTTTCATCATCGTCATTATGTGGCGCTTTCTACCATTGTCTTCTGACTCTGTGGCACAAGCATCAGCTCCATCTCGATATTTTTCTTCTTGACTATTGTAATGATTATGAATGTTGCTTGAAGAAATTGGTTGTCTTTCAGTATTTGCTAAATAATAAAAAGTGGAAGAAGGTCAATAATAAGTCGCACCGATAACTGATGCCTCTATCAAAATCTTTGTGAATTTAAAAACCTTGATCGTCGTAATCAATAGAATGTTCAGTAACATTATTGATAACATTATTGGTATTTACATCATCTTCTCCCATCATCATTATTGATACATTTTGATTTCTTTGTGAATCCTCAGGACCATAATTATTTATCGAAGAAGCTCCAACATAACTGGACATTTCTTTTTCATAACGTAATTTTTCTTTGTTATACATTTCAAAATAAATCTATTTTAAAATAATAATGATAAATAAATAGATAATAGTGTATCTACAGTAGGGTATACACCAAATTTCGTCCAGTTTTACTAACTTTTCTTTCATCTTCAGGTAAATCCTTCCATTTTTGACTTAATATTCTAGTAACACCTTGAAATCCTTTGTTGTTTTGATTTTCTTCTTTTGCTTGTTCACGCTGATTCTGACAATATATCAAGAATGCATTACGTGGTCTTTTAGGTGCATTTGGATCTCTAACTTGTTTTTTACGTTTCCCTACACGCGAGTCTTCAAGCATTTCTTCTTGTGACTAATTTTTAATAAATTCAATTTAAATTATAATTTTTAAACATTGTTATTATTATTGTTTGTTTTGAATTGATTTATATGTTATCTATTTCCAAAAAAGATTAATTTTAAGAAAGTATAATCATTTTCGTTAATTGATCCATGTATGGTTCATTTTTGCAAAATGATTTTGTACAGGGAATGATGTGATAAGAGTTAAGAATATATGTAAAGAAAGTGAAGTGGGGGGACGGCACGATGAGATGAAGGAGGGTGAAGTAAAGTTAGATTACATTAAAATATATATTAAATGATCATTATCAAAAAACATTATTATTGTTATTATTATTATTATTTAATGCCTTCTTAATCATTAAATATGAACAAAATACTTTGCATATTATGTCAATTAATAAATAAGCATGAGGTATTTTTCCTCTTCCTTTTTTTTTTGGAGTTGTAAGATAATTAATCCTTCACTGACATGTTTTTATTGTAAGAGCTACTATCATCATTATTTTTATTTTTATTGTCATCACTACCCACCGAATTTAATTCATCATCAGTATCCATTGCTCTTGGTGGAGATGATGAAATCTCTGACCCAGATTCATTATTAATGTGCTGTTGTGATTGCTCTAAACGATCCACTAGAAAACTAAAAGAAAAAAATAACTGGTTAATTAAAATAAATAGTTAATTGATGATGATTTAAATTTATAATTGTCTTTATCTTTTATGTCTATATATGTTTTTTATCGTTTTACCTTCTTTCTATCTTTAATCGCTGTATGCTTTTTTTGGCTCTCACCAATTTAAGATTTATTTTATCATTTTCCTAATAAAAAAACCATAATATGTAAAATCGTCTAGAAGGAAAAAATAAACCAATGTTAAAAAAGAAATTTTGTACCTCTTCCATTTCATGTATTTTCTTTTTAAGTTCTTTATATTTTCTCCTGTATTTGATTTCTTCTTTCCCAAAAATAGGAAAAAAAAGCAATTGGAAAATTTAATAATATAAAAATCATAACACAAGACGAACAATGACAGGCAAATTTGCTCTTTACCATCAGAAGCAGAAAGAATTTTGGAGTTTTGTTGTTTTGGTCTTGACTGAAAAAAAAAATTTTTGCTCGAAAACTTAGTAAAGTTTATTTTTTTTTAACTTGAGAATATTTATCATATTACCTTTGAAGACATTTTTATCAAGAAGAGTTTAATGTGCGTTTATATATATATATATATGGTTCGGGATTTCGGTCAAACTTACAATTAATCACTTTTTTTCTTTAATAATAATGGTAAAGAAAAAAAATTTGTAGGAGGAATGAGAAAAAAGGAAAAAAATTGCAGATGAATTTGACGTGTTACACGAATTCCCGTTTTATACTTTTGAATTATCAGAAGTATAAAAAGGATACGATCTTAACCATGCGAAAAGAAATACTAAACGTTCTCTAAGCCACATACTTGAAATGGTCAGATTTGTACTCAAATTAACAACTATGCAACCCGTAATATTGTGTTATGGTTGCTTGGATACGTGTATTTACATGCACAAAGCATGTACAGTAATTACCACGTTAACCGGGAAAGAATCTTTAGTTTTCCTATGGATATTCAACTAACCTTGAATATTTTTTGCGAAATGGTCGAATTTAGTCAACTGACGAAATGTTATTATTATCAGTTATATGTCAGACGATTCATCACATTCGTTCATTCAAACCCGTGTAATCAACTCTCATATTGATATAGGTTCTCAAAAACAGCATTATAAAACTAAAGAATTTCTTCGACGTTATCTTTATAAACTTGGCAAATGGTCGAGAAGGTGCAAAATACTATAATCCTTCATATGGACAAATAAATAATAAAATTTGATAAACTTATTTATCAATTTTATCAATTCACAAATAGGGAGAAGAAGATCATCAGTTGTAATGACCAAAAAAGCGATAATTAATTTCAAAACGCGGCAATTTGATTTCACTATTACTATGGTTCAGTCCGAAATTTAAAATTTTATATAGAAGAATTGGAATGATTTTCTGTATCATGGAAATTTTTTAAGTCGATCATCAGTAGCCTTTTAGGAAATCACAAGGAAGATCATTCCGATTTACATATGGGGCATACTGCAACAAAGCCAGACAAAGTGAACATTGGGATAAAAATTTAGTTGTTCCATTACAATTGTAATGTGGTCAGTTTTACAATGCCTCATATGTAAAAATATTAATATTAATATTAATATTATAAACACATGTATGTACATTTATAGTTAATCATCATTTTAATTTTTTTAATTTTTATATTATTATTATTAAAAAAATTAATCTGCTAAATAACATTAAATTCCACATTGTAAATATTATAAATTAAAAAATGAATGTTCTGACATTACAATATTATAAGCAGTCATTACTTTTCCCTTAAAATTTTCATAATCATTTGTGGAATATTCCAATTCATATAAATTGATAGTGCGCAAAAGTTGAAAAACAATTGCAGATGCAATTGCATCTCTATGTCCAAGGCTCTAGTAAACAACAATGATGATAATAATATTAGATAATAATAAAACTAACTTTTTTTGATCATTATAATGTATACATGATGTGATATATACTGGCCTTAACTTTAGGCAATAAATATTCAAACAAATCAAGTTTTCTTTGTAAAGTTCTTTCCCAATCAGAGGATGAATGCATTGTGGTTGAAATAATAGGTTTACTACTACTACTGTTATTTGATGGTGGCATAGTCATAACAGGTATTGAAGGTAATGATTTTATTGATGAATTAACAGGTGTTGCTATTGATGATAATGATGACGAACCAGTTAATGATTGTGTTAAAGATAGTGGAGGATATGTTGATGCTGTTGATCCTGTGGAGTTGCATATTGGTATGAAGCCATAGTTAATAATAATAGTTATATATCATTCTTATAAAAATTAATAAAATCAATTATTAGTCAATTATTAACTGATTGTATTTTACCATTTACTAAAGAAGATTGTTTTGATTGTAGTGGAGGTGGGACAGAGGCACAGAAGCAGTTTTATAAGCATGATCATCACCACTACCAGAATTATTATTGCAACTGAATTGATCTGCTAGTTTTAAAATACAATTGGTAATTATTATCTTATTAAAAAAGCAATTTTATTAAAAAAGAAATTATTTTAGATCAAAAATTAATTATTTTATCAAACCTCCTAAGCCTTTATAAAACTCTATTACTTGTTTATGAGCAGCTACTTTGTCTACATTGGAATTCAAAACTTGTAAAGAGGTCAGTGTTTTAGATCTAGATAAAGCAACATATACTTGACCTATTTTGCAATTATATTAAATGTTGTCAATATTAAATTGATAATGATTTTTAAAAAAACTTATTAATAATGATAAATATAAACCCTTTTCAAAGACTCTTTTAAGATTAATTTTTGCCCTTTCTAGTGTCTGACCCTGACTTTTATGTATACTACAGTCGGCGCTCGATATAGTGAAGTTTTGGCTAGTACAAATTTGGAAACTATCTTCTGAAAAA